CTGAAGGGCGGGGGCACACCAGATGTCTGTCCACCCCAGCAAGTGCCTGAGTTGTCTCCCAGTATAGTTACATATAGACAGGGCACAGTATATAGGAGAGGGGTCAGCTCTTTCCCATCCCCTGCCCTGAACAGGCCCAAGCTGCAGACAAGCGCTGCAGCTGTGGCTGTGTGCTGCCCATTGCAGCCTGTGCTTTAGCTTTGTGCCCAGGCACCCAGGGCAGATGGCAGCCCCCAGCCTCCCCAGCCCCACCAGCAGGCCAGTGCCAAGCCAGGCCCTGGCTGCCCTGCCCAAGCAGCCCTGCCTGGAGCTGCAGTGGGAAGAGCGGTGGGTGAAAGGAACAGCTCAGACCTGGGGCGACAAGAGTGCCCTTGGTGGCCACAGGCGGGTGCTGTCACCTACACCAGGACATTTCTGGTGTGCAGTCACCCATGGAGCAAGGGCGAGGCTGCTGACATATGTCACAGAATCACACTACCCAGCCTTGTGCAATGCCAAAGTTTTCTCCATGCTGCTCTATACATGGGTACATCGCACCAGGCAGAGCGCAGCCTGTGCACAGAAATGCTCTTCCCCTTCCACAAGTTTTAACAAACAAGTTATGTTTAGAGGCTATCCCAGCTCCTTTGTGGGCTGCAAAACCAGCTCAGCATGGGCTCATCCTTTGCCTTGCAGACCCAGCTCTCCCTCCCAGGTTTGGTTCTGCTGGATGAGACCCTGGCAGACAGGAGCAAAATGGGTTATTGGATCACATGGCAGCATCAGCAGGAGCTGCAGCTTGTGTCTGGGAATGGAGATTCAGATCTTTCCCAGTACTGGGCAGTTGGGAGGGTAATAAAATGACATCATTTGGCATAGCACAAGCCCATTTTGTTGGGCACAAAAGATCAGTGTGGAGAAGTTTGGAGGGTATAAACCAGTGAAGGAAAAAATATGATATTCATCAGTGAAGCAAGATTTGTTCTACATTTTCTTCCCAATCCTTCTGCAAGGATATGGTACCACAAAACACTCCAAACAGTCTGCTCTTGCAGAAGCTCTTGCAAATCCTTTGTCCCAGCCCTGAACACAGGGGTTTTCCCAACAGTTGTTTTAAACCCAGGCCCTTTATTTTAACTGCTGGCAGACTGGCACCCCTTTTAGAACAGCCCATCTGGGCAGTATGTAATGGCCCCACACAGGCTGTGTGAGGCAGACACAGGCTGTCACAGAAGTGGAGTCAGCTCCAAGAGCCAATATGATGGAGGTAGTGGGAAGAGACCTGGGGGTGAGGGCAGGAACTCATCTTCTGCTGTCAATATGGTCTTAGGTCAGATTGCCAACTAAAACCTTCTCCTAAAGCCCTTCACTGCTGCAGGAACCCCGACTGCTGTGGAGAGGGAAGAAAACAGTTCCTTGGGGTCTAGCTCTGCAGCGCTGCCTCTGGACCTCTCCTCCGTACACCCACAAGCTCGTTTTATGAAGCACAATACATATCCTGACAATCCTGCTCACAACTTTCTTTCATAATGTACGCACAAACCCACTAGTTATCCTGCTGGCAGAAATACCTACATGTGCTGTGCACCCTACTTTACATCACAATTATCAGCGTTCTGTTTCCCTGCGAGTCTCACACCCCAGAAAGGGGCCACTCACAGCCACACCATTGCTGTCCCACACAGGCGGACACCCCGGAAATGCCCCATAATAATAATAATACAAACAATAAACACAGAGCCACGGCCCTTTCCGTGTCCCAGTGCCACTAGATGGCACCACGCGTGTACCTTCCCAGCCCGGTGTGTCCCCAGAGCCACTGCGGAAACCTGGAGACCCAGCCCAGCCCTTGCTGCAGAGAATGAGATGCTGGTGCATTCTCCTGCATCCCGCACAGACCATGGCGTGCTGGGGCTAAGGCAGATATTCAAGCATTAAAATCAAACCTTCAGCGGTGGCTTTGGGTGTTTCCCCGTGGGCGAATTGCCTGTCGTGGCTTTTGTCGTGCTGCCATTTCCACCGAGGGGCCAGGCATTGCTCCCCAGCTGAGTGCTGGCAGAGCACGAAGTGGGACAGGAAAGCCCCAAAGGTGGATGCAAGGTATTCTGGTTACTATTGGGATCAATGTATAGGTTTCCCACAATGGACAGGCTCCCCTTGGGAGTGGGGTTGAAAGGGAATAAAATACAATTTACTACATTTTGCAATCAGCTTGCCTTCTCTGAGGTCTCACAGTTTTAGGCATTGATTCTCCTCATGCATTGATTCTCCTCATTTGCCATCCAACAGAGCTCAAGCATGTCCCAGGTCCTCAGTATTATCTGCTTTTTCACCATTAAGCCCTCCATTCATTGTCGCACACGTTTGGCAGAGCCGCTAAGTGAACCTGGGAAACGCAGGTGGCAGCTCAGCAAATGTCAGGTCTTTCCTCAGACCTTGCAGCATAGTTAAGAAGTGTCTGTTTTCCTCTGTCCTCAGTACCCAGCACTGAAGGTGACCCTCCAAGACAGGAGCTCAGATGACGGGATGGCTGGTGAGGCTCTGCTGCACGCAGCACTTCAAAGCACCCAGCCAAACCCTGGCCCCGAGTAGTGTGGGGAGCATGGGTGACAAATCATTGCTCACCACACAACCTGTTGGTCTGGTGCACAGCCAGAGGGGTGATGGACAGAAAGCAGCTCCCAAAAAAGCTGGAGCATCAAACCACCAGGAGCAGTGTGTCACTCCGTGCTGCCCAGTGCACATCCAGGTGATAGGTGAGCATGGCAGTGGCATGACCCTGACACCAAGGGGATCCCAGTGAAACCCAGGGTGGGAGGGGGTCTTTCTGCAGGGAGCCTCTGGTTGCTGAGCTCCAAACAATTCTGTTCTGCTTTCAGTGGTGGAGCTGCTGGACATGAGGGCGAGTAGGAAATGCGCAGCATGGCTCCATGGCAGGCTGAGGGCAAGAGCAGTGCTGCTCCTGCCCACATCCTGAGGCCACAAGATAATCCTGCAGAAGGATCCTGAGTGTGACCCTGCTTCCCATCCCTCTACAGAGAGCAGCACAAATCCCACCCAAGTGCTTTAACCCCAGTTTAGGGTGAAGGCTAGGAAGGAGGAGGCTGGGTCAGCTTGGGGAGTGGCTTAAAATCCCCCCAAACAAGGGAAATCCCTCATCTCCCTTCCCCACAGCCTCCCTCTCCTTCCGATCCCCCCAGATAGCACAGGAAGGGACCCAGCATCCCCTCTGCCACCACCTCCCCACCCGGGGACCCACCCAGGGCCTCCTCACACACCATCTGCTCTCCCCAAGCGACCTGCAGGTGGATGAGGACATCCCTCCCACACCATCTGCCTCCACACCAGGTGGCATCTCCCCATCACCCAAATGTCCACCCCAGCCAATGTCCCTGGGCCCTCTGGCTCTGGAAAACCTCGTGTGCTGCCAGTGCTAAACCTCATGGGCAAATTCAAGTCTTTACTCAGTCTCTTCATGACTGGATGCTATACACAGGGTGCAGAAACTTGCTGCTAAGAAACCTTACTGAAAACAGCACTTCTCTGCACACACACACAGAGTAGAAGGTGCTGCCTATCCCCTGCCCACCCAGGGAGGACAGGCACATCAGCAGTCATGATAGCATGAGGCTGGTCCTCATCCATCTCATTTCAGGTCAGTAGTGCCAAGTCCAGCATGCCCTATGGTTACCAGCCATTGCTTGTAAGCAGAACATACCCTCATCTGACCTTGAATGTCAAATGGCAGAGATGTTACACAGACATTGACATGTATGTGGCAGGAGCCATTCACGGGCTGTGGCATTATTTTAAATGATTGAAATGTCAAAGGAGCTTTTATTTTCTCCCGAGGGTTCATTGCTTGGAATTCCCATTGGCAGAAGCTGAATCTGACCCCACTGTCGCGGTGGACTCCATCTACTCCATCTACTCTTGAATGTGCCATGGGTGGTAGAGGAGGGTACATGGCAGAGTTGGCACCCTTAGAAGGCAGGGTCCACCCAGCCCCACAGCTCAACTCACACCCCACAGCCAGGCTGCAGCTCCACCAGCTCCCCATGTCCAGAAAAGGTGTCACTGAAGCAGCAATGGACAGCTATAAACTGCAAAGGACACAGCAGCAGGGCCTCTGGGGCAGGCATGCAGTCAGGAAGGGCACAGGACAGCTCTTGTTGCCCTCTCATGGTGCCCCAAAATCCCACAGAGACTCCCTGGACATGGAGAACCCTGTTGCCCCTTTTCTTGTTAGGGAAGCAGATTTGAGGGGGAATGGCTGCCCAGAAAAGCAGTGGCATTGCTGAGGTAGGAGAGCTTTGTTGCTTGTTTACATGGCCAGAGAGGAGCAGTAATGGCCTACATTAACACAATAGCAAACAAAGGCCTTGAACGAAATCCAGCTTGGAGGTTGTGACCAGTCCATAGATAACTGGGAAGAAAAGTCGGCGTTTTCCCAGCAGAACTGCCTATTTACATCTGAAAACAGCACAAACCTTGCCCAGAGGCTGGGACAAACATCTCCTTTCACTGCCTGCTGCCCGTGAGGCTTTCCCCTCCCTCTCCAAAAGGAAATTTCCAGCAACTGAGATATAAAAACCAATGCAAGACTCTGCTCCAGAGCTATAAAACTCATATGGAAAGAGTTCTTCATCCCACAGCCAGTGCCATGGCAAGCTGCTCCCAAAGGAGGTCCCAGCCTTCGTGTGTGGGGAGCAAGAAAAGAGGCAGCTCTGTCTGCACCTCGCTGGTGCAGGGCTTTGGGTGTGTGGATCTAGGTGCCCAAAACTGCAGACACCACCAGAACTATGGGCTAGGCAGGATTCCCTAACAGAGGGTCCTGGGTTGCTGGTGAAGGTTGTGATGCCATGTCTTCTGCCATGACACTGTGCTGCAGCACTCTGGTTTTACATGAGAGTGCCCGAAACAAGGGATGGAAGCAGAGAGAAATTCATCAAGGGGGGACCATCCTCCTCCTCCACTCACCACCAGGCCACATCCTGGGAATAACTAGCAGGGCTCAGCTAAGAATGTCTTTCTGCCATATTCCATTCACCTTCCACCTGGACTCTGCATAGATTAGGATTTGGGCCTCTTGGCTTTCCTGCAGAAGTGCAGGAATTGTCTTCCATAGCTGTCAGGTTTCTCCATACATCAGGCTGCATGGATCACTGAAGGTTTCAAGGAGCTGTGACTGCAGACACCGCACATGGAGTGAAACTTCACGTTTCTCACAGCAGGCCTAAGGGAAAGTAAGAAAAAAGCTGGGTCATTAAGTGCTCAGCAGAACATATGCAAGAGCCAACACTGCTCCTGTGCACAGGATCTTGCATGAAGCTGTATCAACATTTACCTGCTGAAAAATCCCCAGTTCTTGGGCTACTCCAGCTAACGTAATCAATGGGCCCACAGCTGTGGGCAGCATCCCTGCTGCTTCCTGCCCACTCCAGCCACAACAGCTCACTCCTCTTCTGGGAGGTCATTCCATGCTAACATGAAACAGTCAAAGACAACACTTTTCCAAAGGTTTCCCACTTCCACATACAGAAGGAACAAATGTGAGCAACTACTGTGTCCTTGTCTGGGAGAAAGTGGAGGATCCCCAATGTACCTGCAGGTCACACCCCAGAGTGGAACAGCAAAATCACAGGGCTGGGATGGAAGGAGGAAGGTGACTTTCCTTTGAGCACGCCCCATAACTGCTTTCACCACTACATGGATGAAGCTGCCAACCTGTGCCACACATGTGCTTCTGCTACACTGCAGACTCAGCCAGGTTTTCTGGGATTGAGAGCCTATTTACCCAGGGGATTTCAGCAAGTAGGAGATTATCTGATTTACAGTGTTTTAAAACATGTTCCTGAATACCTCTTCTAAAGTGAAGGCGATGCCATGGGTAATTCCTGATTAAAGGAGGGTATAAAAGGAGGCGGCTGATAGCCAGTTCATTATATCCCAATCAGTCTTGATTAGGAAGGGAAAGCTGTGTCCTTATTAATAGTTTCTCTAATTGCTTTCTCTCCTTGAGAGCAGGGTAGCCCGCTGCCTGCTTGTGCCTGGAGGCCTCAGGTCAGAGCTCAGTATAACTCATCCTTCATCCATCAACATGGGGAGCTATAAATAAATGGTGACACCGGAAAGCAGAGGAAGAGGTGGAAAGGGACTGTGCTTCTCAACCTGAGATACTCAGTCTAGTCAGTTTATCCAACAGAAGGTGACTGGTGACAATCTGTAAGTATTAACCAAGGGGGGACTATTTCTGATAGCTGAAGGTTCTGGCCTGGCAAAGATAACACAAGATTCTCTGGCTCTTAGCTGGAGCTGGGCAAATTTGGACTAAAAAGAAGTTGCAGATTATTCAAAGTGAAGCAAACAGCTGCACGTTCTCCACTAAGAAGTATTTTTAAATCCTGAGGACCAGCTTAGTTTCAAGATCTGCTGCAGTTTATCCCCTAACCCCCCCTCTTCCCCTCCCCCCCCCAGAAAAAAAGCCCAATTTGTGACTGAGAAGGAATCACTTGGGAAACCAACAGAAGACTGCAGGTGATCCAGATGAGCCCTGGCAATTCATGCCAGGGGATTAAAGACCTTATAGTGACAGTCATCCTTCTGACTTTGATCCCTCTTCCTTTCTGCCACCGGCTGTTGCTGCCAGCATGAAGGGATCACACTCACCTCTGGTGCTTGCAGCACAGTCACCTGAACAGGAGCAAGCCCAGCTTAATTAATGCAGCTGTCGTGGAGGGGGCTGCAGTGAGGCTCACACATCCCTCCCTCAGCACCAGGGAAGCAGGAGTACCACTGGGGAGAAAATCCCACAGCACACCCTGCCAGGAGGCAGCAGTGCTTGCCTGGGAGACCCTGCCCATGCACACATGGTAAGAGCTGGGAAAGAAAGGATGCTGTGAAGAGATCTTGCTGTGGAGGCACACAGATGGGAGCAAGGGACAGGGAGGAATAGCCCTGTCTTCTCTGTCCCTGCTGTAACCTGAATCACACATCTAAGCATTCAGCACCCTGCACTGCCTACAACAGAATGCTTCATGACATAGAAATCTGCAGGCAGAGAGAGGGAAGTAGAACTAGCGTATACAGCAATGAGGACCTTGGGAGGTGATGCTACATACACAGTCATTCCACCTCCCTGTAAGCAGGAATGCCTATGTATGCGTGTTACACACACAGGTATGCGTGTTACACACAAGCATGCTTACACTCACACACCTACCTTTGCTAACAGCAGAGGCAGGCACAGAGTCCGTATTTTCCAGGTTTCACTTCTATATCTGCAAAAAGCAAGTTCACTCCTGGGTTTGAGTCCCTGCAATTATCATGAAATGCCTCCAAGAGAGCAGCTCTGTCTTCTCGGTTGAGCGAAACTTTGATGTTCAGCACTGCACTCAGATGTTCCTTCCTTTCCAAAAGGATAAGAAGGCAGGTCAGTGAACGAATCAAGGAAAAAATCTTGCTTTCTAGCACTCAGTTTTGCTGGACCAGACCGAAGATTGGAAACTGCTGAGCTGCTTTTTGACCCCTACTGGCCACCTAACAAGGAGGAGGCCATATCACAAAAGCTCTGTGAGATACGGCTGAGTTCATGAGTGCCAAGCCTAGTGCCCACAGCATCCCCATGAAATTGAAGGAAACTTCAGTTTAGGTCTCTCCTAGAAAAAGGTTGCATTTGAAATCTGCATTTGACCATTTGAAGCATTTTTATATCTTTTCTTGCCTCAAACAGAGATACTTTTTGTTCATCTGGAAGGCTCTAAGATTTTTGCTCTACATAGCCCTGCTTTGCTGAGTGTGGCCACACATCTTAGTCTGATTAACAAACAGGTCAATTGTATCCAAGCCAAACAATTTTAAACATACAGGAATCTGCTGAAATCAAGAACTGTGCATCTACTCACACCAGGGTGATCTCCTCTGAGATCTGGATCAAAATAATCTTCTGAGTACTTTCTATGCCCACTTATTATATAACTATGTATATAGTTATACATATGTGTGCATATATATGCAAGAGAATAAGAATTGCTATACTCTATCACATAAGCAGCTTTTACTCAGTAGCATCTTCAAAAGTAGTAAACACTTAGGAAAAGAATACAGAACCCAGATGAAGCATAACATGATCTCTGTCTTTCTCGGGGTTTTGCTTCTGGCAGTTTGCAGTTTTAGTGAATTCCTTCTCTGGGGGTTACACTATGCCTGTCATGTTGAATAGGCACTGAAATAATTATCTACCACAAATTGTCTGCTTCCCATTTGAAGCTATTTACACTTTTGACCTTCACAGCATCCTGTGACAGAGAGCCTTACACTGTAATCATGTTAAATTGGAAAAACACAGTCACCAGCACAAGACATCAGAACAAAAAATAGATGTAAGAAACCACAGACTTTGGAACAAATGCAGTTACTAAGATCTCACCTTCTCTAATAAAAATTGGGTTTCATTTCTGTTAACAGTTTCCTGTGGGAATGGAAGTATATATTCTTGATGAATACATCTAGAATTTTGTGAAAATAGTTTTACCTAAAAAAGGGTTGGCGAAGTATTAAAGCCAAATGCCAAATACTTGGAAGTTATGAAATGCCTGAGTTAAGGATGTTCTTGAAACCTATATGTGGCACACATGTGCCTGTAAATTGTCCATTCAGGTAGTATTTTTCCACAGCACTCCTGCTTTGTTGACAACCATTTGATCAAGCCTTCACCTTTACAGAAGGACATCTCAACTCCACTGGTTAATGTCTGTCAACATTACAAACCATGTTAATCAGCATTTGCAAACAGGCAGTGCTGGGTACGTTCAGAGGTAAACATTGTGCCTGGCTGAGCACACTGCTAAACGTATCACAGGACTAATATTTCTGTAGGTCTTCTGGCGGCAAGTAATCATGCAAGGAAGTGCAGAAGTCAAACCAATAAAACACCTTACCTTAGATCAGGAAATTCTCTGAGAATGGGCAAAAGGGCTATTTTCATCCCCTCAGAATCAGGAGCTTGAATAAGCTCTAAAATTGCTTGTATAGGATCCTTGAGGTGACCAGCTGCAGGACCCTGGGGAGAGAAGCAAAGGTGTGTTCAGGGCAAGGAAAGCTGCACACGTGTTAAAAGCTGGACTCACATCAAACTGAGGATCTTGCTGCATGGGTTAGGAACTTTGAAGGCCTGTCTGTGCATGTATAGCAGCCTGATTTCCCTCTAGAATAGGAGAAAAGAAACTGGGGTGTAGCCACAGACTCCTTCCAGGGCTGTGTGACTACCTTCAGCAGCGCAGGATCCCCTCCTGCATTCCCTTTGGCAAAGCAGGCAAATATTCCATATTATTCCCTACATTGCCTGTCCTCTCAAGGCCCCTTTGTCCTTTGGGAAGTGTTTTGCTTCTAGAAGAGGTAAGCACAGCCCTTGTACCTATGTGAAAACAAGCTCTGTTGGCCAGACACGCTGGCATTTCTGCTGCCCTGGAGTCAGCCCAGGGACAGAAAATCGACCTTGGAGAGAGGGTGAGGGGACCAGATCCTCTATCAGCAAAACAGAAAAAATGGGAAGCAGGGCTGGACACTGTAAAGGATATGACATGGCTGGTAGATGCATATGGTCAGCTCTCTTTAAACTGGAGCTCACAGAAGAAAGCCTCACCAAGAAACATGCAGCATTTTTAGCAAAGCCGGATAAAGCAGAATGCAGATGAACTGCCAAGAGAGAGCTTCAGGTCTTGCTCACATTTTTCATCGGTGCAGTAATGCGATTAAATTGCTTCCCTGAATTATTGATGCCATCACGTCAACAGAGACTCTGTGACAAAGCAAACCTGGAGAACAGGCTGCCAAACTGGAGCAGGAGAAGCCCAGGCTCCCCTGATCACCATGGGGCATTAGAAACAGCAGGCCATGTTCTCTGTGGGGCTTACCTCTGCATTGAATATAAATTGAAAATATTAATAACAATATCCAAAGACATTGTTCCCTCTCTTCCTCCGCACTGCAGACACACAGCACGTCTAGCTCTGCACACCACACAAGCTGCACTCAGCTCCTAAGGCACCGATACTGCACAGCTTCATACTTGGCAAGCTCACTATTACAAAATGCTAATTAATATGAAGTTGTCAGATTTCATTAAGCGCTATATAGACAGGCAAGGTCAGAGGTAAACAGTTTGCAGTCTAAAAGGACAACAAAGAGGTGTCTTGTCAGCAGTACTTAAGCGCCTCTGACACGTACTGCTCATCAGAGAGAAGCAAGGCATTACCTAATGTGTTTTGAGGACGGAGGGGAAGGAAGAGCCTGAAGAGAGGGCAGAGCAGGGCAGGGAGCAGGTGCAGCCTGTGCAGCAACTGCACGATAAATTCTGTCCATAGCAGAGTACATATTTTGCATGCATAACCATGTACCTCATTTGAGTGAGGATCAGACTGTCCCCTGCAAATCAGTGCTCCCACTTCAAGTAAGAAAGCAAACAGGCTGGAGACACATGGGAAGTAGTGCTAACTAGATGAAGACTTTTTCCACCCAAGCTGAATCTACGGGTTTAGTAGATAATTAGATTTTCTGCATCACATTCACACTATAAAACCAGCTTTCCTTGCACATTACATCCAAAGCTGATGCTGAGTGCAGCATCGCTGGTAAACTTCAGAGTTAAGATTAGAGAATCCTCCTGCTATTCCCAGTGGCTCAATTGCTCAAAGCATTGACTCATCTGTGATTGATCACTCCAGGAAGAGGTGGGTCTTCAGCTAAAAGCACTGGCAGCTTCCAGCTTTCCACCATGAAACTAATGCATTAATTGTAATGAGTCTGGCAGCTTTTTAAAGGAGCCTACAGACAATCATTTCAATTTCATTTTATCCTTTGGACAAAGTAAGAATTGCTGACAAATGACTTGCAGGGGGACTCAAATGGGCAAAAATAGATTTCCAGTCCCTAGCACTTAAATCCATCAGTTGTGAAAATGACTCAGGATTTTTGAAAGTATAAAAAAAAGTAAAGCTGTGGTCTTTTATCTGCTCTGTCATTTGAGTCCTGTTACCAGACTGATTTTGCAGCCATTAGTGTGGTGCTCAGTCTAGCCTCTTATGAGGCGCTATGAGGGCACTCTCAGCCTGCATTTGCAAAGTGGCTGTGCCAGGGCACATTGCGCTGCAGTGATTCTCCGGCTGGGTTGAGTGGCTGCAGGGGGGGATGCTGCTGGCATTGCAGTCCTTGCCCTTGGGTAATGAACGGACCCATGAGACAGCCTGGTGGCATCCACAGATGCTATGTGCAGCACTGCCAATTACACCAGATTATGAATTAAGCAAAGAGACTTTTTTAAGCTTCCAAAGTTTTTTTTCTACAAATTAGACCTCACATTTTCCCACAAGCTTTCTTTGAAGGTGTGGCTCGGCTTTTACACCCCATCTGTCCCTTCTGCAATACATCTTTACACCCTAATGGTGAGTTTTCCCCTGCAGGAAGACTCATGCCTCCCTGTGCAGCCATCACCAACCACAACAGCATCATCATGTTTCCGCCCATGAGGAAATGCTGCAGCACAGGAAAATAGCTCATGCATCAATCAGCTCAGCTCTGAGGGGCTGGGAAGGGCCCGCGGGAGCAGGGAGGAGCTGGACGGAAGGGTAACAACGCAAACACCATGTCCAGGGAGGAGCAGTCATACAGGGCAACACAAGGAGAAGGTGAAGATGTGGGGCATCTGATCTGGTTTATCAGTCCAGAGGCTCAAAGGGAAGTACTGGGGGGAACACAGCTCTTCCTCATCTGCACCCCCATACCATGTACCAAGGCTTGCCTGGGGTAGCTGACGGCTTTGGAGCTGTCACACCAGCTCAGAGGAACTCGCCTCATTCTTATGTCAGTGGCAGGGGTGCGAAACTTGTCTCCTCTAGTCATACATTTCAAAACTATAAACTAACATCTTCTGGCAGATCAGAAGGGCCATCAGCACATTTGACTGTCATTTCTGTGAAGCTGGATGCCACTGTGGTAAGACCCCATAAGCTTTTCTGTTGCTTTCAGAGCCTTTTCCTCTGCTGGTACTGTTCTTGATGATAGAGAGCAAAACTGTAACCATATAAAAACTTACTAAGCATTCTTTAAAGATGTCTTGCAGCATCCTATGGTCTTCTTCCATCTTGCTGACAATCCTCCTCCTCTGCACAGAAGACAGTTTCCTGGAAGTGGTCAGGAGGGCCTGCACATACTCTGCAATAATGATGGCATTGACAGCCTTGACAAGGGCCTGCTCGGAGCAAAGACACACAGATTAACTTCCCTGTACCGAGCAAGCACTAAATCATTCCTGTAGGGCTCTGACCAGTGTAGGCAGTGGATATTCTGTCCATGCAGCTGGCTGTCCCATTTCTTTGCTTAAGTATTTCTTTAAAATGCCCGGTCTAATACATGGCGTACCTCCGAGCTGCATGTGGATGACATAAACATTGATGGTAAGTGTGGAGTCATCCAACCAAAAGCAATAGGACCAGTTAGCTGACCCAAAGGTCACTGACACTCCAGAGCAGCAGCAACACTTGCCTTAGCTAACAAACACATCCCCTGGAGACAGCTTGGTCTACAGACAAAGCCAGATCCAGCCTCCCTGGATCATCCCCACCAGACACAGCCTAGGGCCATACCTTTGGGCACACAGTTGTGGCTGGGCACAGAGAAGTCACCTGGGCATCTCTGAGCCATCCACTACCTGCTGAGAAACTCCATTGCCAAGATCGTGCAGTGCCCAAAAGGGAGGGTGAGGTTTCCAAGGGGAGATGGGCTGCTGCACATAAACCACATTTCACTAGCAGCTGAAATCAAAGCAGTGTTAGGCTGCAGTCCAAAGGTACAGGAAATCCCCAGCCCTGTCCAAAACAGACAAAGCAAGAGATGGACAGCTCTGGCACAGTGCTCCACTACCAAGCTGCTGTTTGCCCCAGCATTAATGTGACATAATGTCCAGTGATCTGCCATAATCTGACATAATGTCAGGATACGAACAACAAAAGAATAGCTTCTATCTTTTTTTTTTTTTTTTCTGTTCCATTACCTTTTTCCACATATAAAAATATTAATTAAAATGAGCACTGACAAAGAGCCTGCAGACCTGAGAGTCCAGTGCTTAGGGGACATGCGTGGCACAGGTAGCAGCAGCAAATCCAACCTATGTGGAAAAGAGACTACCCCAGGTACCAATCTCATTACCAAAGAGACAGACTCAAGAGTGTTGTGAGACTCCAGAAAAATTGTTTAGGCTATCTTAAAGGTGAAAAAACTCAAGTACCCTGTGAACTTGTTCTTTCCCAACCCTTTGCCTGAGTGAATCTGGCCCTTTTCCTTCCCTGTGTGTCCACTCTCCATCAAAGGCATAAATACTCCTTACAACTAATGTTAAAGCACATTAGAAGCTGAGAAGATTTCCAATATTACTGGGGCAATGGCAGGATCAGAGATGGCCCAATGGTCCCTTCTCTATTTGGGAGATACATCTCCACATCTCTTCACTTGGTTTCTCTGCTGAGATTACAGAAAGCTCCTAGTTGTCACAGTAAAGATGATATCCAACTCTCTTAAATAGAAGAACTGGACTGACACCACTTTAAGAGCTCTTTTAAAAACAGACAAAAGTGTAGTTTGGATTCATGTTTAAATACTGTGCCATCCAGAGGTTCAAGGACTATTTTTGGTAATTTCTTGAGTAATATCTTGTTCTTACCTTCTTACTTATTTCTTACCTCATATGTGTCTGTTTTTTTCTTCCCAAATACCAAAAAACTTTGCTTTAAGGATTCAAGGATGTGGTGAAAACTGCTGTCACACTTTTTGAAGTGCTCCTTCAGTGTTCCCTGAGGAAAAGGGGCAGACAAAGTCAAAGGGTGCACATGTACAGACACCACAAAGACGGCAGACATGGACTATTGTGCTTTTGCTATTTCTGCTTTCGGAAACAGACTCCCCCATGAGCTGCAGCATCCTGTGCCTTCATTTCAAAGAAAAGAAAACATTCAAGAAAGAAAGAATTTGAACTCAGGAAGGACGTGTTAAATCCGTAATCCCAAACCTGGAAGACTGAAAACTGTAAAAAAAAAAAGGGTGACAATAGGTGTAATCTGGGAACTATGTAAAATATGCCCCTCTGGATGGGGAGTGCAGGAAGAGCCAGCCATTCTGCATCCTTCTGCTCTGACACCCTGCTCCCAGCACGGCTGTTGCCTCTTATTCAGTGATAAAGTACAGAGGTCATTTAGAAGGTAGGCAGGGCATAAATTCAAAGCCAACATTGACACAGTCGAGAAGGACTGAAAGCCTGAGACCTAGGTCTCCTGTTCCTTCCCAGGGTTGCCCACACTCCCTGTCAGAACCACCTCCAGCTCCCACCTTGACATGTGGGCCAATGGGACAGGCTGGCAATGAGCTCTGGAGACCAAAGCTGCACAGTGTGGCCAGAGTTTCTTTTGTCATTTCATTTTCCTGCCTTCAGCATGCTTGAGGGAGCCTGTGCAATGAGCCTGAAGATGCTCAGAGGAGCTTCCCAAGGAAGCATACACAACCATATGCTATCAGGAACCTGCAATTGCGTGCAATTTAGACGTGGAGCACCAGATATGAACACGGGTGTCTGGGCCAATAGTCTAATATCAGAAAGTATGAAGGGAGGGGAACTTATCCCAGGGGATGGGTAGATTTCTGATCAGCATTCTCTATCTACATCCTGACTACCCACCTCAGCCTTGGGCTGTGTGAGTTATCACTGCCCTGGGAAGATGCCCAGATGCTGGGGATGAGTAGTATCAGGTGAAGTTCAACCCTTGGGGTCTGGGTGCTCAGGACCACCATGAGGTGCCCATTTGTAGCACAACAGCAAATATTACCAACAGTGGAACTGGGATTCCAAAAAGGGGAAAAGATGAAGTTGTCAATATACAGCTTCAGACAAGGCAGAGGAGGGCACTGGGCCTGCAGATCAAACTATGATTTCACTCCTTCCAAATGAGGACATGAGAGTGAAGCGCATGTCTGCCTTACAGTCTGAAAATATTCAGTGTTAATGTGGGTTTCCCATACCTTGACTTTAGAAGCCACCATCTGCAGAAAATGCTCAGTAACCTCATCTTCCATCCTGTCTAGAAATCCATTTACCTTAACATCCTGACCAGTGCTGGCACTGTAAATGTATGTTAGCTTACACCAGACAGCCCTGTTAAAAAAAGTATATGGAAAGTATTGATCAGATGAAATCAATGAAATCAGGCTGTTCTCTCAGATCAAAACTCTTCCTACGGTAACCGAAACATCATTAAATTGAATGGACACATGCTCAGGTCCAGGACTAGCTCAGTGGCTTGCATATGTGCACCCATCTTTTGGATGGCTCTCATTAAAATACTGCCACAAGGACGCAAAAGCTCAATGCACACAGATGCCATTTGTACCCATCACTAGTGAGTTTAGATAAAAAGTCAGTATTTCAGAAAGGAGTAGGCATGAAGGGGCCTTGACAAACGGGGCTGGATGAACATCCTGTGTGCCTCTGACACCCTACAAATACAAGACAAGCAATTTTCTTCCATTAGAACAACCCTCAAGTCAGGAAATCCTGGTTAAAATGGTCACCAGCTTGAAAATGGACATTTTACTTTCTGGAAAACCTCAATGTGCAACTTCATTCTCAGTATCACTGTAAAGAATTACACAAAAGAGCCTCATAAGTATTCAGTCTAGGATTCAGGACCAGCAACATGCAAATACAACAAACAAAACTCAACACAAGGCTCTGATGTCAAGTAAGCACTGTGCATATGCTGGATTTGGGCATTTTGCTGACTCCAGAGATCCCTGTATAATTTTACACAGGAGGAAGAGAAACAACCTTGTTTTCTTCATCGCTGCAAGCACTCCTAAAATTAGCTCATAGGTGCAAACAGCCTCCCCCATCCTTCTGCTCTTTATTGCTTGCCCCCTTCCTAGCAACCCAAGGGAAAGCCTGTCATGTTCAGCTAGGTTTCAAAGCACTTAAGCTTGGGCTTACCCTGAAGTGCACCAGCACATGCATCTCAGTGCAACGTTTATGAGGCTTTCTTAATGAAGAAGAATGAGGCCAGGGAAAGGAATCACACAACAGCATATGGCAGGGTTGGCCAGAATAATGTTCCCACATGCAACACAGCATTGCTGCCTGCCTCAGTGTCGTGGGCACCAGGAAGAGTGAGATGGTGGAGCACAGGATACGGCTCCTGCACCTGCAGGGCCTGGGAGCAGGCAAGATGCAGCAGCACGATGCTGCCAAGATAGCAGTCATGGCCCTGGCCACAGGTACAGCCCCTACCTGAGTCTCCTTCTCCTGGGACAGCACTGAGGGGTCTTGCTGACTGCAGCTGGTTCCCTCCATGCTTAAGGGCTGGTGTGCATGGAGCTGGATGACCAGCTCCAAGGAGGCAAGGCTGACCCCATAGCAGAGGTAGAAGGAATCAAACCGCAGAAAATTCATTTCACTTCCCATACCACTAGGGCCTGGTTTCTAACCTGAGAATGCAGCAGTTCTCCAGGATCCATAAGCCACTGCAGATCTCTGGGCAGCCATCGAGCTGGAGAAAGTTTCTTACTTCATTTTCATAGCTAAATTAAAACAGGAAGACACATCTTTAACTGGTGTGCTTCATTACACATCTGACAGCATCAGCTCATCAGCAAATGGAAGAAACATTCCATGACTATTTGTCTTTTCAGCATGCAGTTTCACTCCCCAAAATGGGATCTACAGCAGGACCAAGCCTGGACAGTGGCCACATGGCTGCCCCTCTTTCTGGTTGTTTTTAGGTCTGAGCCTCTTCAGACCATCCCCCAAGGCTTTAAACTGTCAAGACAAGTCCAGGTGCACCTTATTCCCTCAGCTTTACTCCAACAGCAAATGCTGAGCACATGAAGAGCAGTCAAGTGCTGCCTCTCCAGTAACAGATGGATGGGAAACAGCCAACAAACTGAAGAAGGGCAATGGCAGATCCAGGTGAACAGTGCATCACCAGTTGCTTTATCAGGATTTCTTTCTTTTGAGCACCGAGGAAATTGCCAAGGAGGAAACGGCGTCCTTCCTACCTCTCCAGGAACCTCAGGCACTCCTCCAGGCATACAGCTTCCACCTTCTCACTCAGGCTCTCACTGACATGCCAGGCAGCCTCTGTCTTCTCTGTTAGTATCTGTAGATTTCAAGGCATGAAAGGAGAGCAGGCCAAAGCTATTTGTTCCCTATGCAGTGATTAGGAATACATCCTACCCCTCATGCTGCTGCATAACCCTCTGCCTTCTGGGCAACAACTCCATGTTTGGTTTTGAGAGCCCTTGTGGAAATAAAAGTAATTTTTAGGAGCCTGATTTTAATGTCTGATCCTCTACCTTTGCTACCGTCACTTTCATTGTAGTCAACAGGCTGGAGTCAAGTCCTGTGCTTGGGGAAGAGCCTATCCCTGTAGATGTTCTCTGCTAGCCATGTCCAGCCTGGCAGCTTAGCTCAGTCGAAGACCTGCTGTCTGCAGGAGCACCCACACTTCACTGTGACACCCTCACAGACAAACTTGGGTTCAAATGCTATAAAGAAGGCTAGGTAGTTCTCACTGCCCTGCTCCTCCAACAGGGGTGACTGAAGAAGACAGGCATCATCTCCGCAGCCACCACCTCTCACACCTGACACAGTAATGCATGTTAAGCCCTACGGTGTCTGTCTCACCACACTGACCCCAGCTGGGTAGCCCAGGTGCCTGTGAAAAGTGGGCTGTGGCAGACAGCCAAAATCCACTCCATATTGGGCAGCCTGGAGCAGGTGGTAATGTAATGCTGCCCATTAGTTGCTTCGTGGAAACAAAAGCTTGCAAGGAGAGGAGAGCCAGATGGATAAAAGGAGACAGATGGGCTCATACAGTCCACTCTCCCAGTGCTCTGGGAAGCACCAGCCACAGACAAAGGGTGATGGGTTTTTCCACTGCTCACAACAGGTGTGAAAGTTCACCCAAATGGACAGGATAAAATATGCCAGCCTAAAGTGTCAGGAAACCACAGCTGATGAGTTTCCATGACACCTTGTTCATTTTCTATCTGATCTGTAAGTGTCACCCTGAGAAAATTGACGAGGAGGAAATAATTTCATGAGGCTTGCCTATTTATCTGAGCTTTCCCATCACCTGCTCTAGAGCATCCTAGCCTGTCAGTTACATACACAACAGAGCAAAATTTGGCCATGCTGAAGTATGGCCAAAAGTTGCAGATATGAGGACTACAGCATTCAACCAGGTTTTGGTCTGATTCCCATTAGAAACTTTTGTTCTGTCAGCTAAAAGTGGGAAATGAAAAGCTAGAAGCTACCCTCGAACAGGTACATCACTGAGTGCATCACTGCTCCACCACTCCAAGGTAATGGGGCAAGGTGAGGAGGGAGCAGTCCTCTCTGTGAGCTCTGCACATGACACCTGGGTCTGAGTTGGGTCATAAAAGCCTCTTTTTGCCAGACAAAGCTGTATCCTTTCAAGGAAGGCCAGCTGCTATTGATCAGCCTCCAGTAGGGTGCCTGAGGTTGTCTGCCATCCCAAAAGACCATGGGGCTACTTCCCTCTCTTGTGACCTGAAACAGGACTGCCGCTGTGGTGGTGGCAGCAAAGGATACAGTCATGGCAGCCACAGCCTGTCCCTAATCTCTAGCATCACTTGAGCATGTAAACCCCAGGATTTATTTTAAGCCTTTTGAGAGTCTTTATCCAAATGCCCTCTGGCTGTGGTATATACTGCCCAAACACCAGCAGAGCATGCCTCTGCAATGCCCTTTGCATACTCACCTTCACCGTGCTCTGTAGTAGTCCCTTGCACTGGCTAACCCATCAGGGCAGCAGTCACATTTGCACTGCCATGCATGGGGACCTGCCATAGCTTAACAGCTTTCACTGGTTTTATAGAGGTGCTCTGCAGAACATACACCATGACTTCCCAAACAGGCTACATGAAAATCCAGGTGAATATATAAAAATGCAGCTTCAGCTTGAATCAGCTAATCTCAGCTCATCCTTTTTTACGTAGTTTAGTTCTCTTTACAGATGCACAAGACAAAAACAAGTCTGGGAGCAAACAGATACAATTTAAGGATGGCAGCTAACTTACAAACTTTTAACACATCAAGCTTAGCTCAAGACATGCAAAACTGGGTCTTGCCAAATACCTACATATTTGTGTGCAAAACCATGACTGCCCCAAAGTACGAGAGCGTTTCAGTCCCCACCACTTTACCTGAATCACTGCAGCATCTGCGCAAGGGGGTTTCCCAATATCAAAGGCTTCTTTCAGGGCTTTCCCTACTTCCTTCTAAATATTAAAAGAACAGAGAAAAAACAGTTGAGATATAATAGCATTTGTGAAGAGTTAGGTTTCCCAGGCTCTCATTATGCATTTGGACTAGATGAATTTCTGCCTCTATTTTTTGGCTGTCTCATTTAACCCAAAGCCTGGCTATTTTCCAGCTGACCTAATAACATTGTTCTGTTTTGTTCTACATTGTTTGTTTGAGTTTAAATGATTTGCAGCTTTCTTTCATCCCAGTGTCAGTTCGGGTTATCTACAGTCTTCCCTAGTTAGCTTAGCTCAGATGAAGGCACCCACACAGCAAAACAACACTTAGACATAACTCTGTGCTGCCAGCTACTGTAGCTGAGATTTTCCACCCTTCCTAGCTCCAACCAGCACCCGCATAAACCAGTCAGCATTAATTAAAAGCATTCCCTCACTTGAGCTAGGGACTTGTGAGTGCCAAGAGAAGCTGGGTTAGTGTTTAGAGCTACTGTCATGGTGAGATGAGCCCCATGAGGCTGCATGCTGGGAAATTTCCCAAGACTTGGCTGGCTTATGTTAGATTGAATGGGCTGTAAAACCAAAACTAACACTGCAGAGAAAGAGCTCATTGCTTAAAACATGATCTGACCTTTCTAGAAGCTTTAAACTCAAAAGTCTGTCTCGCTTATTTATTCTTTCATTTCTCCATCTTCCTCCAAGGAAATAGAAAGAATGTAAAGTCTGATCTTCCCTTTCTGTCTTTGATCTTTTCTGGCTGATGAATTAGGAACTTTGTGGCTGTCACTTAAGAATTTCATCAAAAGTATACTCAAAAAACTGCTCTGCATACTCACTGAAGTGTTCATCAAAGACACATAAGCAGTTGTAAACAACCCAAGAAGAATTCCTTTCTTCCAGAGTGCCATCACCTGACAGTGAGCAATTGTGTAAATGCAACATGCTGAGATAGCACATCCCAGCCGAGCTGCACAAACATTTCTAGCCTGCCACAGTTGTACAGTAAAATGTGTCAGCTTAAGCCAACACGAAGATCTTGCTCTCCAATGGGACAAAGCACGCATTTAGTTAGTAACTGCAAGGCAATAACTTGCTGAGCCATGGTACTCAGACACATCAGATGATGCGTCTGAATTAATACAAACACCTCAGGCACCAGAACTCCAACGTGGAGACAACCAGAATTTCTGCTGTAATAAACAGGCCCAGTTTCCTCCTTGCTCCTCCCTGTCTGACCAAGACACAGCACCCCATGTTCTAAAGCTTTAGATCCATGGATGGCCAGCTCACCTGTGCTGACTGTCCCACCAACCATTTCCTCTCAGAAAATGCAGAGGGATGAGCTATAGATAGTATCCCTCATCTGTCCAGCTGCTGTTCTAACACATGCAAGAACTTAACATCCTTGAGACCCCTACATTGTTATTGAATGAGGTCAAAATCGGCTAAGATGCTCAGCATGGGTGGGAGTGCACCACCAACACAGCAGCAGGCACGCCAGCAGAACAACCACACAGCCTTATTCATTTGGACAGGAGCAGGGCCTCAGCTCAAACTCCAAAGCACATGAACTTCTCAGTCCTCCTTTCATCTACTTGAAAATATGAAGGGAGGGAAAAAGATGCAAACCCAAGTGATCCTTTGCAGGCCAGTGTAAACCTGCCTTGAGTTTTTGTCCATGTGTGCACGTCTGCCCCTGCCATCTCCATTTCTGGACAAAGAGACAGCTTGGAGCTGCAGCTGCAGAAGCAGGTGACAGAAAGTTCATTTTCCACCTCTCAGTACCAGAATGAACCCTGACATCATGCTGGGGGTTTGCCTTACACTCATGTAAAATTCCCCACTACAGCAAGGCAGTGAAAGATCAACACCCAGTCAATGGCCCCATCATTTCTAGTTCCCCAACCTTGCAGCCTCAGAAGGCACAAAGCCCCCTTGCCCTAGACGTGTGCAGATTGAGGGAACACCACCTCTGTGCAGCACAGGCTGAGTTCCCCACAGTGGTGTTTGGAAGTGGTTTTGAGCCCCATGTGGCATCTAAGCTCTCAGCACCTTCAGATGTGGTCAGAGTTCTCATCACTAATTTCTGTTTAAAGTGCTTTCAGTTTGCACAGGTATCAGGCCGGCACTAACAGTGACAAGGCAGGTATTCACAAGCAAAGCAAGCCATAGCTTATTTTGGTCGGTCTCTTTTCTTTTAGAAACCTATTCATCAACTGAAGTGACAAAACACACACAGGGTGATTTACAGTCATGATTATATACTACAGTAACTCAGAGATAACTGACTGGATATTTACTCTTGGGCAGCTTCCTGTGTATTTGGAATAATGAAGGGCTGGATTATCCTAGAAGAAGAAACAGAGGAATAAAACAAGTTTTATCAGCTATTCCACTGAGCTGAGTAAAGAGACATGCATCATTTTTCCATATGGAGTCAGCTCATCTCTACTTAATCTCATTAGCTTGAACCTGGAGCTGGTCCTAAGCTGGCCAGGTTTGAAGCAAGCCAAGATTCTGCTGTGCCACACACTCCAGCAATTCCAGCTCTGTTTCCTATGCACAACGTGGCACTGTGTAGAGCTGCAATGCTCTACATTCAAGGTGGCACAAAAAAATGCAGCCAGCTCAGGGCAGCATAGTACAACCACGGCCAGATCTAGGTGAGCCTGCTCCATGCATGGTGTATCAGGAAAACAGAAAGCTCATGGTTAAACTAAACCTTTTTCCAGCTCTTACATTAGAGTGAACAAAAAAAACATTAAGTTCTGCATCACTGTTAGTCAGCATCTTTGAGGGCTTGTCAATGACCCAGTGACTTACTCTAAGGTAACCTTAGCACTACCCTGAGTAGTCATTTCCTTCAATGAAATAGGTTCTAAAAACAGACCTTAAGAACATGTGGTCTTCCCCAAGGTAATGATTAGAAACAGGCCATAGGGACCCTCATTGTTAAATCCTGAAATCAGCAGGCTTTAACCATCCTGGTTAAAGGATGGCTGGCACTTCTATTTCCATGTTTGTGACTACCTTCATGCTCTCCTTCAGGGAATAGGTCTTGATGAAAATCTCTGCAATTTAGAGTACTTTCCCTTGGGTGATTTAGCAGTTTGCCATGGGATTTCCCTTCCTCTGCTCCCCAGGGGCTGGTGGAAAGGGAAAGCAAGTGACATAAGTATGGTAACTCCTGCTGCTGCAGGAGTTCTGGTGTCCCCAACATAAAAAGGACATGGAACTGTTGGAACAAGTCCAGAAAAGGGCCACAAGAATGATCAGGGGACTGGAGCACCTCCCGTATGAAGATAGGCTGAGAAAGTCTGGGCTGTTCACCCTGGAGAAGAGAAGGCTGCATGGAGACCTCATAGCAGCCTTCCAGTATCTGAAGGGGGCATATAGGGATGCTGGGGAGGGACTCTTCATTAGGGACTGTAGTGACAGGACAAGGGGTAATGGGTTAAAACTTAAACAGAGGAAATTTAGATTGGATATAAGGAGGAAATTCTTTCCTGTTAGGATGGTGAGGCACTGGAATGGGTTTCCCAGGGAGGTTGTGAATGCTCCATCCCTGGCAGTGTTCAAGACCAGATTGGACGAGGCCTTGGCTAATATGGTTTAATGTGAGGTGTCCCTGTCCATGGCAGGGGGGTTGGAACTTCATGATCTTAAGGTCCTTTCCAACCCTAACTATTCTATGATTCTGATTTTGGCTTTAGCTGAATCTAATAGGCCACGCTGAGTTTTCCAAACAGCATGGTTACCCCTGGAGCTCCCCGTTGCTACAACACATCTTTCCTACTTCATTTGTATTCCATGTGCCTCAATAATATTCTTCAAAGGGGGAGCTTTGCTGAGAAAAGAGAGAGATGCTGCAGCCCTGGAGCTGAGGTCAGCAGTGAGATCACAAGGCAGGAAGCCCCACTCTGACCTTACTTGAGGGCTGTGCCGGGTGTGCAACAGCTGCAGGATTGCTTGTGCTGGGCTCTGGAAATAATTGCTGTAGCCTCAGCAGTGTCAGTCCAGCAGGATGGGGAGGGCTGTGAGGGGTCCACAGGCAGACAAAGCCTGCAGCCTCAATATCCTGCATAGCTGAGGCAAAAGGGCTATAAAAACCCCCACTGTGGGCTCATTAGCAGCTGGAGAGAAGATGAATAGCATCTTGAAATGGCCCTCAACAAGGAAGTGGATTTCACCCATAACCCCATTTCTTCCAGATACATTGCCTTCTGAGCAGAGTAGATTGCAGCACTAAAAAGATGCATCAGAGAGACAGAGGGAGATTTGCAAATGCCCCAGTATCTGTTTGCTAAGCAGCAAGGGCAGGGCAGCATCCTTTTGGCAGAAGACAGTCATGGAGCTTCGCTCTGGGCTCTGTAATGAAACTTGGCCAAGATGGAGAGCTTGGACTCAAGCACACCTGAGCCGAGCTGGCTCATCTAGCAAGAGAGCAGTTAATAAAGGGTTTTAAAACCATGTGAATAAAACAGGCAGATTGGGGTAAAACTCCTCAGTTCTTACCTTGGCAACTGCAAGTAACTTTTCCTCAGTCTTCAAAACAATCCACAGGAGACACCGTACACTAAAGGAAAGGCTGTGCTGGGGGGTCTGCCTGGGTCTCAGACATGTCTCATTGCCACTGTGTACAGAAACAAGAGCAGACGGGCAGCTTCCCCACTGCTCCACAGCCCATCACCCGCCGGGCACCCCCTGCTTGGCTCCATGGCCTCACGCCAAGCAAATGAGGTGCCCTGCAAGCACCCAGTGGTGTGTGCAGTGCCGGGGCAGCTGCAGCATGGTATTTACTATCATAACCTTTTGTCAACTATTCTTCTGTGCTCTTTCTTTTCCTTCTTCCTATATTTGCTGCCCAAATTACACATTTTGCTCATTGTTTCCCTCTCCCCTTCCCTCATTGCTGCTGCTGAATTCCTTCATGGGCTTGGGCAGAGTCACCCAACTACGCTTTCATGAATGCATCATTTTACAAGTGTCATGTATTCTCTCTGAATGAAATAAGAAGCAGCTATACACCAGGACAACTGCAACTACACATGAGCTTTCATTAGGGTTGTAACTGTACTCAAAAAGGAAAACCCAAATAGGTAAGTTTGGCATCTCTGCTGTTTTCAGTTCCACTTTCTTCACTGCATTCTGGCCTTACTACATTCATGGGCTGTTTTCCTTTTTTTTTTTTTTTTTATTTTATTGAAGGAATTCAGCATTTGCATAAGACATTTGGCCCTGTCTTTGAGCTTTCCTTCATGTATTTAGATTATATAATCATTCACCTCCAATTCCATGCAAGTTTTCAATATTTCATCAATGTGTCGCTCTAAAATTTTACCATTTTAAAAGCGGCAGTAGAATAGCCACACGTCTCCCATGGAGGTGTTCAAGGACAGGTTGAACAGAGACTTGGGTGACATGGGTGGCATTTGACCCATTTAGTGTGAGGCGTCCCTGCCCATGGCAGGGGGCTTGGAACTTGATCTTAAGGTCCTTTCCAACCCTAACTATTCTATGAGGACAGCATGCACCAGCATGTACTCACCACCCTGCCTCCCTCCTTCTGGAGCTGGTGAGGGGGAGACCCCACCTGATGAACTGCTAATCAACCATTTATAAGTGTAATCAATACCAGGAACAAAAGATGGAATCTTGTATGGAAGCAGTCAAAAGGGCTGAAAACTATTAGGGTATAAGTAGATTGGAGCTGTAAAATAGCAAAGTAAACACAGACTCAGAGAATCAAACACCTCATCTACCACTGTCACACAAAAAGACATCACAAGAAAGCTTCAGGCTTTGATGACACCCACAGACTTTTAATTTACACTGAGACAAAAGGTCCCAGATGTGCTGCTCTTCAGATCATGGGGAAAGCCACATCCATTTTCTCAATCTTGGGCAGGAATTTAATAACCTGCTATATGTTTTTCTTGTGACCTAAACACTAATGCAGGAAATACAAAAACATCTGGTCAAACTACAAGCCAGATAAAGCAACAAGAGAACCATGGAGCCAACAAGAAAAGCCTGCAGAGCACCATGATGACATAAAGGAAAGAGAAAATTATTCTGGGGTAACTGGAGTACCATGGACCTCGCTAAAAAAGTCTTAATACAAGAACAGAAACTGGTGAAGAAAGCAGGACACCGTGCATGTCCAACAGGAATCCAGCAGAGAAACAACTGCCTACTTCTGCTAAACCCCTGAGCCCAATACCAATGACTTAGAAAAAGGCAGTGCTGCAATGTAAAAAGGATCTGATTTTGAGAGCACAGAAGATAAAGCAGGCAGTGGGCAGGTCTAAACTCAGCAAGAGTCCTGAACATCACTGCCTTACCAGGAAGCAGGGATCATGCTCAGAACTGAATAGAGACATAGAAAAAATGTACAGAAAAGGAAGTCCTTCAAACATACCTTTTGTACATTTTAAGGCCCCATTCATAAACTAAAAGGCATTGGGTGAAGCTGAAATGGCTACTGTCAGTAAGTGTGGCAAGGTGAGAAGACAAAGAGGCATGACAGCAGTAGGTGTAGGTGCTGAGCAGTCCTGCTTCCTCAAAGACACCACTACCATGCTCCAGGCTGGGGAGAAATGACGTTTCCAGTTGACTCAGATGCTGGTTTAATACATTCTCATTTGCGTTAGCAGAGGAACTCAGGGGGGGAATCCAGGCTGTCATGTACTGTATTAGCTGTTCCTCCAGTTCTTTCCTCCAGAAGTTTGGACTCCAGGTGGAAACAGGCCCAGTCTCTTGGCTGCTGCCAAGCCACTCTGCTTCCTTCTGCTTCTCCCACTTCAGTGATTCCCCCACTGATCGCAATGGCTCCAGGAACATCCTACCACTTCCACTGAGAGCTTCGCCCACCACAGTCCACATTCGTTCAGCCAGTAGCTTATAAAGTGACTCAGACTTTCCCATCTCATCACTTCCAGAATGCTCCAGATTATAAATATGATCACAAGCTTCAAGAAATTTTCCTTGCTCAATGAACCCACAGATGGCTTCTTCTGCAACACAGAGAGTAACAAGACAACTTAAAGTTTCTTCACTCCTCTATAGGACCCATCACTTTAACATCTGAGTATTGAAGCATGTAGTTTATAAGTATCCCAAAATTCCTCAGGGCCTACTCAAGATCACCTCCTGTAAGGTCTAGCACTAGCACCTCTCAGTTTCCTCAGGGCAAGCAGTTTCTTTCCTCTTGCTTTCTTTCATCCTTTCTCCTCCAGTCTAACTAAGCCTTCAAACTAGTCATCTGTAGCTTTCTGCCATCATCCCAGCAGACCTCCTCATGTGGGCAATGCAGGTTCATTAATGACCATGAACGTTATCTTTTGTCCAAAAGAAAAGCATTAGAGAAGGGACATCTTCTGCAAGAGCCAACAGGTGAAAGTCAAGCCTAGAAGGAATCCTCTGCCTTCTCTGCAGAAACCCTGGCAGGACCAAAGTGCTGCAGGCTGCCTTGTGAGGTCCCACCTGCCTGTTCACAGTCTGGTAGGGTGTCATTCCTGCCAGTGAGGTCTTGTCTTAGACTGGAACTGCACAGCCCTCTCCTTGCCAGGGCTTTTCAACCAGGCCAAATGGCCAATGTGCTATTTTGCCCAAAGGTGAAAATCCGAAGGTGGGCTACCTATCTGCACTGTCTCTGCAATGAGAATTCACATAACCCCCCAAAACTTCCATGTCTGGAAGAAGCTGTGGCATGATCATCAGACACCCCACCAAGACAGATACGAAACCCTTGAAGTTCAGTAGTTGCAAGAAGTTTTCCACCAGTGCTTGTTTCTAAAGTATCTTACTCACCACAGCCAGCCCACCACTAACAATTAAATGTAATTTCATAACAGCTGCAGATAAGGTCCTATGCTTTTTATAGATGACAAAAATGAGCAATAAAGGGTTAAGAAGATTTGTCCAAAGGTATCTGGAGCAGAACCCAGAGGAAAAATCAAACCTGATGAAAACCCAGGGAAAGTTAAACAAGTCCAGAAGCAGTGGGACTCTGAAACGCATTCAGGATACAGCTTTGGTTATAGAGTGAAGAATGAGAAGCATATGAGCTTCCGCTATCAGAATCATAGAATACCAGGTTGGAAGGAACCTCAAGGATCATCTGGTCAAACCTTTCTTGGCAAAAAGCTATCACCTGTACCTTAACTTTCATCTATGAAAACACCTCATCTATGTAGTAAGAATTAAATCAAACAGGACTGGAGGGACAAATGTGACACAAAATAGATAAGGGCTGATGCAAGGATCTTCAGCAAAGCAATGGGCAAGCTGCTCCAGAGGGGTCTAACGAGCTGTCCTACCTCAATACAGGCAACACACAGGAAATGTTTACTAGGAACAATTAATTCATGTACAACCTACCTCCACCTCCCTCCCTCCCTATGGAAGAACAGCACAAGTCACACTCAGCAGCGTGTCAGTCAGAAGTACACTGTTTTTCTCACAAGACATATCAGGAGTCTTTGCAGGGGTAAAAATAAGAACAGCAAAGAGAAATACTTGTGAGGCAAATGGCAAGTGAAATATGGAGCAAGCCCACAGTTCATGAAGGACAAGAACTGAGGTGAAGGATCGGGAGGAGGAAAGTGTAAAGCACCTACTCCAGAAACTAACAAAAACAAGAGCCTGCAGTGCTGGGAGAGGCAGAGAAGGTCCAGGACTGTATCCAGAGATAACTTCAACGTTACCTGCAGGCACCCTACCCTCCACTCCTTTCCTACTGGTTGCCATCTTCAGCAAATTCCCTGCCACCTCCACACCACCAGCCTTCTCTTCCGCTGCCTCTTTTCCACTGGCCACCACCTTCAGCAATTTTCCTGCCATGGTTTTCAGCTTCCCTCTCCTCTTTGCTTCCTGCTGCTTCTTCTCCTCATGCGTGGCCCTGGGCAGCATCCTTGCATTTTCCCCGGCCACTTTCTCCCACTTGCTGCCTCTTCCTGCAAAGGCTCCCCAGAAATACTTTGTCTTCCTCATCATCCAAGCAGGTTCAGACACCTTCTGTCCAACCGAGAACACTATCAGAAAGCAAGAGCTAGAAATGTTAGAAAACCATGCAAGGTGATCTTAGCAGCCGTCTGCCAGAGAAGTCATTTCTCCCAGATTTGTATTTTCTTTCTGTGCAGCTACAGGCTTCAGCAGCCTTCAAAGAAGTGGAACCTGGTTCCTGCCCATGCTGGGTGAGGACATTTTTATAGGCTGCCTGCCCTTTTATGTACTCTCTCTCTCTCTTCTAGGAAAATGATGTCAAAACCTCACCCCAATCTAACCGCGAGCACTGGGGGAAAGCCAGTGGGATTTTCAGCATTTTCTAAATTACTAAAGCATCCCTGTGTGCTGCCAGTTGTTTCAGTGACAATCTCCTCAGTTTAAGGGAGTTGATTATTAATAGTTTCTATGAAGGACTTATCTCTTTCCACCCATGTGCCCCAGCTGCACCTGAGCTCTTTCTTGGCAGGGAAATCATGCCTGGCACTGTGGCCGAATTTTTCCTCACCTCCCACCAAGCCTGGTGTTAGTCAATAGGGAAGTAAAGCCCTGGAGAATGGACACTGGTCTTCATGTTTTAGCAGCACCATTCAGAGGAGATAAGAGCGATCTCAGCCTTCTGGATTCTGCAATTTCACAGCAACTTTGTATACTATTTCATATTATTTTACATTTATAAACACACACACAAATATATATATAAATGGCATAACATAGCAATACACATGCATATGCACACATATAGATCTATTCACCAGCCAACATCCACAGTGAAGAGAAAGAAGTATGCCCACTGAGTGCAAGGACCGTATTGGCGAGTCCAGGCCTGCTAAAGGTTCTGACCACAAACCTCAGCACACAAAGAAAACCTCTCCTACACAGAAAGTACCATTTAACTCAGGAGCATATGATCAAAATAGATTTTCAAAAAGTCCCTGCATTGCTGTGAGAAAGACACCTGACTTGGAGATGAGCTGAACTGCTGCCCTTACCATGCTCTCTTTGCTTGGTAGTTACAAAATGGTTTTTATTTCTCCATTCCATTATTATAAAAATGAAGTCAAGAACTTGAGGATTTTCATCATTTGAGCACAGTCTTGCATTAGCCATTAACAAGCTGTACTGATTCAAAACCATACACTGATTTTGGGGGGTATGCATTTAAGAGGCATTTTTTTCCACACAGCACCTAGGGTATTCTAAATATGTGCATTCACCTTTCTGGGTTTAATGCCTGCAGTTTCTTCCAGGATTTTCTACATTTGCATGACAGTAAAATTCCACTAGTTTCCTACTTGGAAAACAAGTAAATGTATGTTGTTCTGGCTCTTTTACCAAGTGCTTAATTCCACCAGCATGTTATCATGGAGCCATTTGATTCATTTGTAATGACAGGGAGGAGGAAATAAATACATTTCATTTGGAAGGACGAACAGAAATTCCAGCAGTGATGATACATGTGAGTTGTTGCCAGGAGGAAATACTGAGGTTGCACAACACAGTGTTTTCCCAGGTTGTGAAAAGAGTTGAAAGTTGAGAGGATTTATGTACATTCCATTTTGACCTTAATTTTTAATCAGCTGAAGTTAAAATATTTCTTTTGGAGTATTATAGCTGCACTGTATATGAATACAAGACGGAGAAGGAGGGTTAGTGATGCAGAGACGCATTCCGGGCATGCTGAAACCCTTCACCAACATTTTCCCATGAAAATTCCAACACAATGTGTTTATGTTTCACTTCATCAGCATTTTTCCAATAAGCCAGCTCTAACAGAAACCATTTCCCTAGACTCTCTGTTGAAGGAAATCGGATGTCATAGCACCAGGGCTGCAGGCAAGATTCTCTGCAGTATACAGATTACGAACACACTACAGTTGCAGATGGTGCCCAAAACTGGGGCAACATGATGTATGGGAATTGCTGTATTTTCCCAGAAAACTTCTTTCAAGGGAATACAATACGAGCCTGTGGGGAGTGACTGAGGAGAGATGGACAGATTTCCTGAGGCAAGGACCACTTCTTACTCCACAGCCCCCTCCTTCCACCCAATCTAAGCCATGGTAGACGCTCCCCAAGATGAGAGTTCTCTCAGAGCACATCCCTGAGTACTATCACACCAACAACCAACAACGACCTGTTCTACCTTTACCTTGTTCACAAACCAGAGCCCATGTGTGCGTATGGGCAAACCACGCAGCTGCCTTGGGGAGAAGGCAGGTAGGAGCACTCTATGAAGGGACAGCAAGTTGAGGATGGCCTTTCTGACTGTGGGTGCTGAGCCTATTAGCAGCATGAGGTGATGCCATATCCCTCCTGTGGCAGCAGGAGCAACAGTCCATCATCACCCACTCTGCATACCTCTGCTCACAACTACTTCCCAAAGGCAAGGGTTGAAGTATGGCATCAATGACAGGGAATGCAATGTACCAGGAGAGGACAAAGGGGCTGCCAAAAGGCCACCCAGCAGCCTGCTTTTCTGGGTCTATGTGCCTTAACAGCACATGCAGGGGGCAAAGGTCTCTCCCCTCTGTCTCTAATGCTGTTTTACTGCTCAGGTTCTGCCACTAAATGTGGGAACTATCTGCTCTGCAAGAACATCTTCTACCACAGTGCTCCCATGAATGATTTTATGCCTAGACAAGCAAAGTCTGCAAGGAAGCTACACCTTTACAGCAAGGGAGCTGAAAAGCGTCATGATCAAACTAGAACAAAGGTTTTTCACAAAGCATTAACATAACCCAAAGGGATTGTTTGCTGTCCAAAACCACCATCTTGAGGAGGGAAATTGGGACATTGCTACATTTCACCTGCCTCTTCCATGGGCTCCTGAGCTGCCCACCCAAGGGGGGTCCTTCCAAGCAGAAATAAGGGCAGTAGGAAACCACAAAGACACAGCGCCATGTCAGGCACTGTTCTGCTTCTGAGCAATCTCCTTTGTAAGGTGTATCAAATGAGCCATCTCTTCCTCAAAAGGCACTTCTTGGAAGCCTGTCCCAGCCCATTCTTCTTCCTGGTGTTTCAATGCCTCTATTTGTCCTCAGTGCTAGGTTCTGCAGTGGGTTCATTCTCCTTCCCACCCTCACCCATGCTATGCTTACTGCAAAAGAGCAGTTTGTCTTCTGGGACCATCCCCAGCATTCAGGAGTTTCCCCCATTGCCTGGAGCTCCTGGAAAAGCCCACAGCCTCCCCACATCACTGAGCCTGTGTTTCTATCTCTGAAAAACTGTAATTCCTTTGTGTGAGGGATGTTTCACTCAACCAATGAATAGCTCAGATAAATCTTTATATTGTTTCTTTGTTAACTCTTTATCTTGCTGCTTCCCCTTTCTTTTGCCTTTATAGATAAAATCTCTTCATAACAATTGGGTTGTGTGCCTGACCTGAACAATAGCTGTTTGGTCTGGATGCTAATCAGATGAAGTCAGACTATTAGCACTTCAAATTAAATTACTTTGCAAGAGTCCAATTACGTTAATATTCCAATTCCAGCAATGCAGTGATGTCCCTGCTTGCTTTGCAGGGACTCTGCATGAACACAGTCAGGCATAGACAATGGAAACTTTGTGCTCAGTAGCATCTGTTCAATGAAATACACTTGGTCCTAGGAGGGGAGCTGGATCTGCAGTATCTGGGGGTGTTTTCAACTCCTTCTTGTTTCCAGAACATGCTGGTACTCTCCACAGCTTTGAACCAAAGGCATAAATTATGGCAGAAAGGAATATTTATTATGATAATAAAACACGCAGAGCATAGCACAGAAACATGGGGGTTCCCTAGGATACAAACTCACGCAAAACCACTTTGTGAAGCTATGCTGTAGTCGGACACTGTGTTCCTCCACCCACATGCAGCATCTTCGATTTCGTCAGTAATCAAAGAACAGCCAGTCTGTATTACAAGCAAGGTAGGCTTTTTGGAGAGAGAGAAAATGAACAAACAGCACAAAAATACCCTCCCCTCCAGTTTGAAATTGCAGCTGGCATTGCCATAGTGGTCACATGCAAGAGATGACCTCGTTAGTTGTGCAAAATTAGCTCTTGGCCACTCTGTGGAAAGCATATATTTATTTTATTTCCTAAAGAAATGAAACAACGTAGCCACAGGTTGCATGCATCTCTGTGTTCATCGGATCCCCTAACAAACTTTGAATGGCTTGTGAGGCAGGTTTAACCAATTTTAAAGCTAGTTTTAACCAAACTGACAGAGGGTGGCTGACACAACACAGTGCATCATGAAAATATATTGCTGAGGAGAGAACATAGACCTTCACTGCTCCTGCTGAGAAACAAAACATGGCACAGCCTGTATCAGACACCAGAGACTCCACTCAGCAGGTCAGTCCTAAGGTACACAGACATGGTTTTCTTGGCTCTGTTCCTTGCCAAATCCCCTGTTGACTCTCCAGAGAACCTCTGTGTGTGCAAGAGTAAATAAAGCAGCACAAATATTTAATACAAGCAACCTTTCCCATAGCAACAGCTGAAACAAAGCTGCTTCCCTGTGGTACCTCCTCTCCCCAGGCTGCACCCTCTTGCCTCCCCAACACCTGTGCTACACCAGACAAGCCAAAGAGCTGTGACTTTGGAGCTAATCTGGAGCTGCAACTGCTGCCTGACAGCCATGGTTAGAGCAAAGGGGAAATAAGGAATTTTCTTCTTTCTGCTCCTGAGCATGTTCACTTGAGTAGCTCTTCTCCAGCCAGCTACTGATTTTCATCCCATTTTGCAGAAGTTAATCTGACACTTCTGTCCTGCCCTGGATTTGTCTGAAACTGGAGGGATTCAGTTTATGATGAGGAAACAGATGGATTGATAGACAGGCTGCATGGTCCCAGCAGTTTCAGAAACCACACTGAAGCCCTAAGAATAAGTTCCCCAAAGAATTGAATACTGCTCCTTTCCCTGCCCTGAACACTAGAACAAAATACATTTGGATGTGATGCACAATTTGCACTGCCTCTGTTTTCCTCCTGATTGTGAGGACCCTATTCCAAACTGACCTCAATTTTCACTTAATTAGTAACCTACTTTGCCAGTCCTTTGGAACATTTTTAGCTAATTCCTGGGGATTTTGCCTAATTCTGGTCTTGGTTTGTGTTGGGGTTGGTTTTTTTTTCAGAATGACACAAGCATTGCTTTAAGGAAGATGTTTCGCTTTTGACAACAACTCCTTAAGACCATCAGCTCCATCCCCTTGCCTCAGGCACCACGGTTTGGTATATGCCCCCTGCAGCCTGCTACAGCGAGGGCTGGGCAGGATGTAAAGTTTCTGTAAAGGTTTGAGGGCTTTATTCTAATTTCTCCATGGGCAAGAAGTTACCAGGGAAAGCAGCTTGCATGGAAAACATCAGAGCCGGAATGTGAGGCAGACTGACATAATCTGTTTGCCCAGGGGTGCTGGGGTCCTGCATGGGCAGCAGCTGAAGAAGAGGTACTACCTGACCTTCTCTGACCATATATACCTCCACACAAACAATATAGACACTAAATACCCTATGCCAAACTGCAAAGTATACTGTGCCAAGGAGGGGGTTGAAGGACAGGCGTCTTGGCCTCTCTGCCTCAAGACATCAGGAAAATGTGAAGGCAAAATATTCCAGGGTTAGTTTCTGACGCCTTAAATCCTATGTGGTGGTTTAAATCCAGTCACATAAATCACACAGTCACTCTCTCACTCCCCTCCCCCCTTCTTGCCCTCCCCTTGCTCCCAGGGGGATGGGGAAGAGAATCAAAATAATGCCACTCCCACGGGTTGAGATAAGAACAGTTTAGTAACTAAGGTATAACACAAATCACTACTGCTGCCACCAATAATAGTAATGATAAAGGAAATAACAAGGGAAAAGAATACAACACCTCGGCACCAGCTGACTGATAACTCGCCCCACCCCACCCGGCTGAGCACCAACCAATACCTCCTCCAACCCTCCAGTCCTCACCCTTCCGGGTAACTCTCAGTTACATCCTGGGCATGACGTGCTGTGGTATGGAATACCTCTTTGGTAGTTTGGGCCAAGTGTCCTGTTTCTGCTTCCTCCTGGCTTCCCCTCCTCCCTGGCAGACTCAGGAAGTCCTTGGTCAGAGGAAACATTTGAGGAGTAACTAAAACATCGGTGTTATCAGCGCTGTTCCCAGGCCGAAGGTCAAAAACACAGCACTGCACCAGCTACTAAGAAGGAGAAAAATGACTGCTACTGCTGAACCCAGGACATCCTATTATTCATGGTCCACCGTGATCACTTCAGTGCCCAGAAAGCTCAAGTCCTGCCTGAACAGGTGAGGGAAGTGTTTCTACCACAGAAAGCACTGCAGTGCTACTGGCTATCAGTCTGGTCACATCCCTAGAAGAGCAGCCACCCAACAGCTTGGTTTCTAATCCTACAAGAGTTATCCAAGGGAGATTCCAGGGGCAGGTCTGCCACAGAAAAACTACAAGTCAAATGCTGCTTGCTATCCTTGGGATAGAAAAAGCTTTCTTACTGTTTGCTAGTCCGGTAAAGAATGCATTAGCTCAACCACCACCATGTCTCTTTTTGAGATGATCCATGATTTTATCCAGGGCACTGTTGTTAGGGGTTTTTTTGAAAGTTTGTATCATGAATATTCTATCCTCATTTGGACAGACAAGCCTAAAATGGTTTTATTTCAGTCTTCCCATTTGGCTTAGATTAAAAGGATTCCTCAATACATTTTCACATATATTCTTTTCAGCAGTAAAAACTTTAGGTTCAACTTTGCAGGACACTTCCTACTCACATCTGTACCCACAGCCCTACATGGAGCAGCATATGCAGAGATTTGGGACTGAAAACCCACATTACATCATTTGTATGTTTTTCCTGCTGCCACAAGAGGTGGGTGATTTCCAGTCTCCCATGTTCCCATGTTTCACCCCCCCTGTACTGACATAGCTCCACAGGCACATCTGCTGGACACCATCTGGAGGCTAAAATCATAACTACAGATTGGCTTCTAAGACATTTTGAGACTTCTCAGATAGGAGCTGGGCACATAGACATATGAACACAAAACCAAACTCAACCATTTCTCCACTCTCCATCTCTGACTGCAAACTAAGGCAGGAATGCCCCTCACACATGTCCTGCCATTACAGTTGTTCTATGTGATGGGATATATTGACAACATGTTTCAGAGCCCTTATCCTCCTTGTTGAACACTGACACAGCAGACAGGTTATTTAGGAGACGAGGTAAGAGAAAAGAGAACAGCTTTCATACAGAGACCTAAATAAATCACATTTTCAGAAACACTCAGCACCTAGCATCTCGCATTGTCACTTCTGAATTTTGAGTCTGAGTAAGAACTCCATTCCCACTCCACAGTGAGCGGGGAGCTGGTTTAGCCACCAGCCCTGGTAAAGCTCAGGAGAATCAAGAAGATACCATTTCATGCTGTACAAAGGTCCCTTTTAAGAGATTTTTGCAATCTCTAAACACTGGAGCTAGCTAGCTACAGTGAGGGGTTTGCTGCAGGAAAAGGGTCCTAGGAGAGTGGTAATCATCCTTTGAAACTCTTACAGAAAAACACCCTGAGGAGGAACTAGCATGAGCACAAAGAGAAGCATTATTTTTTTATCAGCATGAGTTCAGGCTGAATAAAGCAGGCCTCCCAAACACACAGTGATAAAACAATTTACACTGCACCACTGTGGTCTCTTCCAAAACCAGAGAAGTATTTAGAGGAGATGTAGCACTAGAAGATCCAGCACTGCTACATGATGTGGAAGCTCCCTGAGACTTTCCACATTTTCCTGACCTGTTCTTACAGGAATTAAAGAAACACGAACAACACAAGAGGTGGGCAAAACCTGGGGAGGACGGGGGCAGGCATCATGTACAAGCAAGGTAAAGAAAAGGGAAGAGCATTTGTAACGCATTAAGAGGCTGCCAGTATCAGGATGTAACTCATCTTCCTGCTACTTCCCACTTCTCAGCAACATGGAGGGGGTGCTATATAAAGATTCAGAGACACTAACCCAGCTCCCGAGAGCTGCATAGCACCAACTGCCAGCACATTGGCAGTGTTCCTCTGCCGCCTTCATTGCAGCCATTCTGCCAGGGTTCATTGTGCACAGCAAGAATTTCCCTGCAAAGGAGAAAGATGTGGTCCTCAAGGAACTAAAATTAGGTAGCTTGTAAGGATATTTCTAAACTATCAAGCAAATTAAAAACAGAAACACTACTTCTTTTTCCCATCCTGAACAAATTATCTGTACTGTTATGACCGTAGATCTCCAGCACATGTTATCTACTGGCTGTCAAGAGCTGAGACTCTTGAAACTCAATTAATAAAGGAGCATTAAAGACACATTCCAACAAAGGATTTAAGTAAATGACTATTTCCTTTAGTTTCAAAGAGAATATTAGCCTCTTAGCTGTACACATCTGTTTAGTGAGCAGAAATAGTGATGTGAAGTACTGTTTGTATGCTTTATGGCTACAAGGCAACAAATACCTTGGAGTCAATAACTTCTGAAAATCAAACAAACTGCAAACCAATTTAATATAGCTGATCTTGACACAGCACAGAGTCGTTGGATTTTAAAGCAGATGCCTTGGAGCTTGTTTGTTTGAATGAATGGGTGTTTTGGTATTTGGTATTAATGGCATTTTCTGTGCAAGGTTTTAATGTGAAGCTCCCAAGCCCAATTATGGCTATATTTTCAGTCAGGTTTCCTTGGCTGTTAGCACATTCTTAACAGTTAAATATACCTCAGGTGGGCAAAATGGGAAACATGGGAGCAAAATATAATCTTTTGTGCTAAATGCATGTTTTACATCAGGAAAAAGAAAACTGTGCTGATTTTGTTGATGAGGATAAGAAGATGAACTGGGAACTTCCAGTTCCAGGCACTTAGTTCCTACTAAGCTTACCCTGGGTAACTGTTTAGTTCTACACAAAGGGAAAGCCAAAGGGCTGTAAAATATCTTCTGGATCAAAATAGCTATGGATCCCACTTTGTACAAGTGGGACCCGAGTCCTTCATGCCTGCAACTGCCTTCCTCCACCCTTTGCATGTATAAATACAACTGAAAAAAAGCGTATTAACATTTCCTTTCCTCTAGCTACCCATGCTCAGGAGCCATCACACACAGATAAATGAGGAACTCCAAGATGGACTGTAGTCTTAGCTAAAATATATAACACAACAGAACTGCTGTGCTACAGTTAGTTCCAAGAAGAAGCAGTTGTACCTTGTGATATTAATTTATTCTAACATTATTTGAAGGGAAGAGATGGGGAGAGATAATTGATATGTATGGCAGGTACTGACTGGTATTTAAAACCTTTGGCATTACCATATGTGACTGGAAATAACTGCCAGCGCTATTCGTTGCTGTCATTGATGACAGCATGTAAATGACTACCTAATCTGCATATACAATTAAATAATTAGATGCCATATGTAAAAGCAGTTATTTATAGGTGTGGAATCAGAGGAAAAATTTAAGCTGCATCTTCATAACATATCATCTCACAAATCAGATCCTCTTGAACAGAGGAACAGATCTTCATTGCTGAGTGCCCCATCTTACGTTAAAAAAAATATCCTAAAAGCCATAAGCAATGTTTCATATTATTGATTCACTCCTGTGACGCACTGCATCAGTAATGCCTGCATCCAGCCTGCTGGCAGGAAGCTATAGCTGCCATCCAGAAAATGCCTGTCAACTTTCAGAGCTCACTATGAACAAAACAAGGTGGCAAAAAACCACCATCCTACAGAAGGCACATCCACCGGCTTCAATGAAGGCTTGCTCTATTCTTACCAACAGCTGACCTAGATTCTATGCCTGAATGAGAGCATTTCCCAGCATTGAGGCTGTTGGGAGAGTCAGAAATTCATGTCATGGTGGGGGAAGAAAGAAGATCTAATCTTAAGGGAAAGTGATGGCATCCATTAGTCATAAAAAAGCTTTATTCAAATCTGCACAAAGCGCTCCTCAACATGCTTCTGCTCTCATTCCAGAGTCTGGAAAGGGCTGCAGCCCTCATGTCAGCATACATGGCAGGCCGGGCAGCCACGACTCCATGGGGAGGCTGAGATGTGCCAAAGCCACGGAGGACATGACCACACAGTGGGGTCCCAGCCTGCTGCTCCAGAGCCACCTGTAGCTTTCCAGCAGCTTGGAGGCAGCTCCTGCCCCTGGGCTGCCAGCAGCAAGGCTGTGTTGGATCATGGACTGCCAGTTCACATCATGCCAAGAGGAAATGAGCCGGTGAGGTCTGCTGATCCCTACACTGCCAGGTTGTGACGGGATCCAACTGCAGACACAGAGCACATCCATCACCCCTGGGACACAAAAGAGGCCTTGACAAGGCAATGTCATGTCCTGCTGGTGAACCATACAGGACACTTCTCCATCTGCCAGTTCTCCGAGAGATGGGAAGTGCATTGTGTGGCACTCAGTAATGTAATTATGGTGGTATGTGGCTCAGAGGGACTGAAAGGCTGGTCAGCCCTGTAGTAAGGGCCTCCAAGTCATTTTCTTCCTGCCTCTGCTACCGATTCATTTTGTCTACAGTCATATTCCTCATCTCCCAAGACGCCAGCAGGCCTCTCCATATGCCAGGCCCAGTAATCTTTCATATTAACCAATAACATTCACCAGACCAGTGATCAGAGGACCCTGAGTGTGTCCATTGCTGTGATGGATGCCAGCTTGATGCTAGCCCTTGATGGCTGCTGTTACTGCTGTCACTGATACTGAGCTGCTCACAGGGAGCAGCTCCAGGCCAGCACCTGAGCAACGTCCTCTTGGGTGGGCTGAGAAGGAGCGGGCAAGCAAGGGCTAGTGCAAGACACCCTGTGTACCCCCAGAGGTACAGCTCCCACCAAGGGCTATGCTGCAGTGCTGGCCATGGGGGACAAGGGCAGGAGCTGGGCAGTCAATACCAAAACATTTTGATCTGCGTCACAGATGGAGGCAGACAGCTAAATTCACATATATAAATTCAGGTCCTCTGGTCACAGAGATATTTCACCCTTTATCCAGACAGGGACTGAGTCTACAGAAGGAGACTTCTGCTCATGCAGACCCTCACTGACTGCACCACACAGGCACAACCCACATGTCCAGTGCAGGCAGAAGGCAAATGACTGCTGAGACCATGCTGTCAGAGAGCACCCCTCTTCCTCTCTTTGAAACCTCCAGAGTGGCCGCCAAGAGGAAAATATAACTAAGCACCTCTCAATTCACATCTGGTTCAGCAAATGCAAATACCACATCATGCAGTTGGGTTTTCCTCACTAACTTATTTTTCGCATGTCGGCAACATGCAAACTAGGTCAGTATTATTCCTACCCAACACTCGCTCTGGGTGTTATTTTTAGAAAGCCATGTGATTGTCTGACTTTTATTTATGAGAGCACAGAAAGATCCCCTGTATATTTTCCTGTCTGTCTTGTTCGGGGTGGTTTGTTTTTTCAGGTTTTTTGGATGGGTTTCTGAGATCTCAGGCCTCTTTTTAAAAGGAAAAGTCAGACTCAATCAAGAGACCTTGCAGGCTGCATGTCCTGGCAATGAACAAAACAAAGCACATGCAGCAGTGAGCAAACCAAACCAGACAGGAGCCCAGAGAGGCTACGAAAAAGCAAAAGTGATGCAGGTAACAAGGGACAAGGATATGGAGCAGAAAAGACATGAGGGGGGTATGAGAGCTGGGGAATCGGGCAGAGTTTGAAGGATGATAGAAAACACTGCACGTATTTTTTCACAACTCCTGAAAGAGTAAAACCAAAATCTTTGCAAAAGTCAGCAGGAGAGGCAAGTTCAGCAACAAAAATCTTCCACAAAGATTCAAGTCTATTTTCTGAGACCTCTTCTTACCTTCTTCCCACACACAAAACAACTTGAGGCAACAAAATCCTGTACCAGCTTTTCATTCAGCAGGTCACAACCCTGATAGATATCCATCAGACAACCAAGCCAGGATGGAACTCCTCAAGGAGAAAAGGGCCCCTGTACCCGGAACCTAGCAGGGACCCTGTGTGTCCAGCTCTCTACCTGCCTGGTTTTCATATGGCCTGTCTGGGAAACCCAAAGACTTTGCCAAGTGTGTGAGTTAACAGGTGATTCAAGTTCTGGGGATGTGAATTCTTTTACTAACTTCGCATGGCCAGTGTGAAGAAGTCTACATCTGTGCTGATAATCCGAGACTGCTTTTATAACCAGACAAAAAAGGCACATAAGCAGTGCCCTTGCTTTCAAGCAGAAACAGACATCGAAAACAGGCTAGTCAAACAGCATACCAGCACTGCCTAATTCTCTCCATCAACAACAGAAGAAATTCCGAATGAGTAGCTCAGATGTCAATGTACGTATTTCAGAGCTGATGAACCACAGGTTGCATTTCCAGAAATTAACCACCACAAAGTGTGTCAGAACCTAGACTCCAGGCGCACAGGTCTTCTGAATTTCCACTCACATGAAACAGTTCACATGTATATGATCTGCACGGTCAGCCGGATGGCTGATGAGTCACTTCAGTGGGCTGCACATCTGACAAGGGCTCTGGTTGCTGGGGCAAGTCACTTCAGCAGGAGGGAAGTCCACATGGAAATCCTTCGTGCCCAGCCCCCAGGACACCATCATTAGTCCAGGGCTTCTGCATGGCTGGGAGACACTGCTGGCTCTTGGCTTCAAAACTGGCAACATCAGATCTTGCTGCTAACAGGGTGAAAGCATGGGAACATGCTGGTCCTGCAATGGGGGAAAGGGAAGGGGTTGAGCTGGCTGGGAGGACCTGGTGCTCACTGACACCCTTTCTGCCTATGCCCTGGAACTGCTATCCCAGGAACTAGGGCCTTTTGGGGGTTCCATTTTCCTCCCTGGCAATCCATGAACACTGGTGGTATTGCATACACTCAAATTCAGAAAATCTGTTTTCATCCATCATTTGTAATTGATCTCAAGCCCTGAAGCTTCCATCCCAGGCAGCCCTTCCTCCCTGAGCTAACTGCTGGTACCACCTAGGTGAATCCTCCCAAAAAGAAACAGGAACTTTGAAAGAAACAACATAGGCAGAGACAGAGACAACAGGACCAGATCCAACTCAGCTTCCAAACTACAAATAACATTTCTTTCTCCAGGAAAGACCGTACTGACACAGAGCATTAGGTACGCACTGTAGATAATGCTACACAAACTATGGCATCCATGCAGGGGAGGAAACTGTAGATCTTCCTGCAAACAGAAACAACACAAACGAATGGGGAATGGGTAGGCCCTCTTCCAGGTGGCACAGCATGGGAACTCAGCTCTGTGTTTCAGGGGCAGTGAGTGAGTATTATATGCAGGGATGCTCAGGGCTATTTTGGAACATGGGATGTATCCTGCAAACTTGCTGGAATGGCCTGAGAGTTAGCCATGCATCACTGTGTCATTATCTAATGCTGCTGGGCCACATGATTCTAACACTGGTTCCAGGAAAACCACCATTTGGGATAAATATCATGAAGACAACTTCTTATAACCCCAACTTTCCATTTTTTCCCATCCCTCATAAGACCCTCACGTGAGTCACTTCTGTTACCTGTCACCTGCAAACATCACATGTGACGTTGCACTGTATTTTCTGTAAATATACTTTTTTTGGATCAATTCATATGAAAATAATATGTACTTTATCAGTCACTGAGACATGTTCTTTATCTTATTTTTAAAACCAGCAAACTAATGCCGCCTTAAAAAAAGAACCAAAGGCAGCAATTATTCACCATGCTCATTAGCAACAAAAACTCATTTCCAGCCATTTCAGTAACCCTCCTGAAATTACACAGTTAGTTGTTGGTGCCAGATTCCCATTTATCTCAAGAGCCTTTTGTAACAACA